CATTAACAAACAATATCATCCTGTAAATAGTGGCGATCAGAAAACGTTTCTATGTGTCGATGTAGATCTACTAAATGTTCAGTTTTTCTGCCTTTGTTTGCTGAAATCACTCAGCTACACTGTAAAACAAGATAAGTTCATTTAAATCAAAATGGAAATGTTGAAATGTTGAAACTACATAAAAATGTTTTGAGTTAAACTAACTCAATTTTGTATGTGAAAAAAAGCATTCTTGATGAAGTAGCTTTAGTCATTTTAAGTAAGAATTACTCAATTTTGTCATTTTTATTTGTACAGTGAAAACAAAATACATAGTAAAAAGTTATTAATCAGGACTGTTTCTATAACTTACAAAACTAAGTTAGTGTCACTTAAAATTACTAGTAAAAGTGGCTTAATCGAGAAGTTTTTTAACCTAACAAATTGAGTTTGTTGTTACTTAAAAAGTTAGATGTAATCAGTTTCAGCAATTGTTTTTAGTTAAATTAACTTATCTGGTTTTACAGTGTAGTATGTCTCTAGGAATGCCAATGTTGGTCAGTCCAGTCTGTGGGTCTATCACTCCAACATCTTTTAAGAGTGAAATATTCGCATTTATGTGGCACTTCACCTAAAAGTGGTACATTTACATGCCCGCAGTGTCAGCTGTAGCTGCTATAAAAGCCAACTCACTGGAAACAATTTGGGTTTCAGGAAACTTAACATAAGGAACTGGGGATCAAACTGCTAACAATGTTAATAATGGACAACATGCTTTACCATCTGAGACACATTCACCAAAAAAGAATTATGATTTACTCTGATATTTGGTAGAGACATTCATGCTCCTCCTTATGATCCTATAATGGATTTAGTGATGCCCTATTAACAGGTCATATTTCTTTCACTTACTAACTTTTTACTTACTTTACAGCAAGATATCTCTAAATCTAATGATCCCATTCCTACGATTGACATTTACTGAATACAGTCACGTTCCCTAGAGGATGCATCTTTTCAATTCTGTACGGCCAACTTAAGGAGAGACTGTCAGTGTCTAACATGTAATAGTTTTGATATCTAAAGGTTGATAGTAATCATAAAATCATGCTCCCTGAAGGTACGAACGGTCATTTTGGTAAACCTGGTACACTGGGATATCTGTCTCATCTTTATTGTGATCCTGTCTTCATTCTTGGCAACATATTGTGATAGTAATATGACTGCAACCCCTCAGATAAAAACATGATTTGGCATGGTAACCTTTCTTGTAGAACCCTCAGGACAATAAATAAATAAATAAAAATAAAAACAATAGAGATGCCATGGGAATCTATAAAGACTTTCACATCCACCAGAGGATAAATACTTTTGATTTAAGTAACAAGGCCTTTTCTCTGGCACCATCCTCAGACCAAACTTTACATTTTTTGCCTCATGGATGGCTACGAATAACAAATACTGCTTGTTTATCCATCCAACTGTCGGGGCCTCATGGGGCCATTCTGGTTATTTCAAACTTTTATTTAAATTGTTTGGTTCTGGTATAAAATCCTCTATGTTGCATGTAAAGCCATGGAACGTCTGTGAGCTTTAGAAGGAAGCTTGGTAATGTCCAGTACTGATCATCCCTCACTCGCGCATTGTTTACAGCTGACCCCATCATCTCTCTCTCATACAATATGTGTCTAGACAAATTTCTGTTATTATTCAGTATAATTCAAAACACTATAGACAGCAGCATCTTAAGGGAGTTTTATGTCTCTGAAATCCTGTTATTTCTGATATGAAAATTACCTGAGTATCTCACTCTGAGGTGAGACTATCACTTTTGTCTGCTTACAGTGGGTGAAGTGTCTGAGCAGTTACAAAGAAGGAGACATGACTTGGATTGTGATAAAGTAAGATTATCATAAAATAAGATATGAAAGAAGACAACCTTCCACTGCTCTTGGGTTTGTTGTGATTTCAGACTTTCATTATAATTTCTTATCTCTCGTAATCTAAAACTCTGGTTTCAAGATAACCAAAGCTTAATGTTCTCAGTACAATTACTTTGCAAACCATGATTAAAAGAAAGAAACACAAACTGTGAGAATTTGCATTCAGGCAACATAGAAATAAGGTGTAAACTTTCCGAACCAGTGCTCTGTTCACATTTTCTGTGCAGAAACTTAAAGGTTGCTGCCCATGAATGAATAGATACATTTAAAATGTATATTAATCAAAATATCCATTTTTATTTATTTTAAGGAGTGGCTGTTGTATAAAAAGATAGATTTTGCTAATGCGTTCAATTTCAACATTTTTCTACTAGATATGTATTTTAACCTGACTTGTTTGTTACACAGAACCATCTGGGCAGCTATTGATGTTTCTGAGCAAACAGTCACTTCTCACACACGTCGTCACACACACTGTAAAAGTTTGGGTTTGTGTTTCTTGGTTGAGCTAGGTTGAAGAGGGTGGAAAAAGACGTCACTCAGAAACTCACAGCCACGCTACTGGGGTTTCCACAACACCTGTCGTTTATTACTGACACAACCCTATCAAGCCCGGTTGGACGGCTATTATTTTATCATACATGAACAGAAAGATCCAATCCCAGCAGTTATACCGCTCAACTAACTCAAGACAGGTTAGGCGTTGTCTGATGAGGTGTCTCTTGTATCTAAGCAGCACAGCATCTGAAATAATATTCATAATTCCGGCTGTTACAAAATGTAGTGTTAAATCACGCCTGTTGTTCCTGAAAGGATGCTGATTGGTCTAAACCACTGTGGTTCGTACACAAGTGCATAGCGTGAAGCCTTGCTAGATGGATTCTTGTGTGATCTGGTGATTTTGTGCCACATTAATTAGCAACATTTTGAAAAACATGTTCCTAATTACAGGCAGCATTACGTTCTTTCAAGAACATATTTGATGTTGCAGATTAGTTGTATATAAATGTAATTTAGAGGAGACAAGGTTGAGATCAACTCAATAATTAAACCAATGGCCTTTCCTCCTCCCATGGATCACAAAAGATGAAGATGTTTTGTACCTCAATTCAATAGTTTTCAATAGTTTTGAACATTCATCTGGAGAAACAATTACTCTAATCTGTTGGTTTCTCTACAGTCAGAGTGAGACATAAGTAAAAGTAAATGTAGTGCTCTCTCATTGACTCCGAACAGAGATCCAAAGCGTAAAACCATCAAGATTCATTATTGTAGCATTTACCTTATCAGAACTGTGTTTCTTTTGTGTTTGCCAGAGAATACTGTATGTCCTACATGGGAAGAAGCTGCCATTACTGGTAAGCATAAGACTGAAAAAGCCTCCACGTATAGGTGTCACAGTTACAACTCAATATCCATGTTTTACTTTGACAGGGGCACTTTCAGACCTTACCACATCATAAAGGCCGAAGCATTTCCAAACATATATTCTATACAAGAGCAAATGCATTACTGTAGTAATAATAAAAGATGGCTGGAACTAAATGAAAATTTCTAGGGAGTGTTTTGGTTCTGTATATATATGCACTTTTGGGGCAAAGGAAGCCACAAGGAAAGCCAGATTCAATTCAGAGTTTCTGATGAGGCAGTGGGTTGGAAAGCTGTATGTGGTGTGTTAAAATGATGCCTGGCCACTGGATTTGAGGGGAAAAACTCAATAATGTAATGGTTTAATCCCTTAATGTCGTAGCTCTATGACAAGCATACCGAACAGGCTCATTCTCCTCCAGTCCTTGTACAAGTACATGTCCATGAATGAAAATTCAGTTCATTGGGCACTTATATTCCCTTTAGAAGTGGAGCGTGTAGTTCACCTACAGTGTTTTGTTTCCTTGTGACTTTTTGTTTCAAGACAATGTGCAATCAATTCTGAAAAACTCTTGGCTAATTTTATCAAGTGAAATTAATATTGCCTGTGATGTATTATGTATCAAATCAATTCATAAAATGAGACATTCATGATCAAATATGACTCCATTAGTGCTTGAGTTTGTGCTTGTTAATTTACAAGTTAACAGTCAAGACTTTTAGTTCAGGTTTTTGGAATGCGTTCTTTATTTCCAAAGTTATATGACAAAATGATCATCCATGGTTTGTTGTAATGATTAATAATTGTTATTGTTAGAAGCAAAATATTGAACAAAAGCCATAAATCAGCTCTTTCACAGTGTTTCATAGTTTGTATTCAACTGCTTTATTATTTTCTGTGAGCAAAGGTGATGACTTATGTGAGAAATGTATTACAGTGATTTTAATCAGGCCATAAAGGCGTGTATTTTATATCTGAGCATTTAACCTTGTGCTGCAAAAGCTTTTATGTTAATCTGCCCGCATTCAACTCAGACTTGACGTGTCCTGTTATGGACTTGGTCCGACCTCATAATCAAAATTATTTTAATCTTAAAGTAAAAGTGATTCATTCAGAAATCAGAGACCAGCATGTTAAATTGCCATCACAATCTTTACATTTCTGTAACTATGGTGAACGTCTGAAAGGGGCCTATGATTTTTTTTTCAAAAATAAAGCCCAAACAGAAGAAATCATAGAGTCAACCAGCAGTTTTGAAATGGGTTTCACTCGCAGGGGTGCACAATTCAGAATTCACATGGTGGTTGTGAAGTGGTTTGAGAAAGTTCCAGAGTTGCTTGACCTTCTAGCACTCACAGATTCATGAGGCAGCGCTATTGATTTAAACAGGTGTAGAGGCCCTTCTCCTGCCGAGGAAATTTAATCATGTCAGAGGGCTACTGGGTTATTGCACAAGACACTGTCACTGACGCCATAGGACACTTTCATGTCAAGGGGCTAGACAATATTAATTTTACTTTCACCTTATATTCCGTGGAAGAAGCGGTGTGGAGATCCACAGCAGTTTCCGGAGAGAACACCACAAAAACTGAAGCACCCAAAACGAGGTTAATAAGAACATTTTATTCTTGGAAAATATCTAAGAAGTGCTCGAACGAGCGCTGAATTCACATTCTGCTCATTATTCTGACTTAATATATTTAGGATCTGTGCTCATCCTCCTTGAGAAATCCAATGATAAGACTTCTTTACTCTGTTGACTAAGCTAATTAAGTTTAAAAAAAAAATACTCTACGTTTCATAATCAAAGCAACACTGTGATAAATTTCAATTAAACTTAAAGCATGCTTCCTCAAATCACCGTCATCTCAATCTAACTGCAAAATTTCTCATATAATCAATATTTTATACAATCAGCAGCAGTTTTGCTTCAAAGTCATTTAAGGTCTACAAGTTGTTTTCAGTGTGTGTGTGTGTGTGTGTGTGTGTGTGTGTGTGTGTGTGTGTGTGTGTGTGTGTGTGTGTGTGTGTGTGGACTGTGAATAGGTGAGCATGCTCAGACTAATTTCAATCCCTTTTGTAAATGGCTGATTATCACAATCTGTAGCTTAAGTTCAGGGAACGCAGCAGTGCTAAGTCCTTCAGAGTGAGCGAAAGACGAGGGGAAAGAGTCGGCATGGCCCAGAAAACTAACTGTAAGTTGATGTTCTGATTATGTTAATCTATTATACCTTTTTCAAGTAGTGGAGGTGATTGCGAACAACAGCACTAATAAGACAGCTAAGGGTGTAAATGAATGGCACTATTAACATGCTGAGATGACACATAACACATTTCAATGAAACTAAAGACCTTTTGTTTGTTGCCTCAGGAATCTCACCGTGCTTTGATATATATCATTGGCATTTTTAAGACCGAATTGTATTGCATCTCAGAATGACTCTCACTCTTGATGTCTTAAAGCGAAACAATGCTATAATCATTTTATGTGTGATTTTCACCCCAGGTTGTCATACACAAATGCCAGATTTTATATTCTTGTGCAATACAGTTAAATTACAAATGAAAAGGGTAAGATTCTGTAAGAGGTTTATTCATTCTTTTCTTTTCTTTTTTTCAACAAGTTACGTGAGCGTATTGAGCCCATTGTGAAATCCAGCAGGAATTTCTTATTGCAACAACAGGCAGATTAGTCTCACTGAGCTCTCATTCTCTCCCTCTCTCCCTCTTGTTCTTTCTCTCCCTCTCCAACATACAGTTCAGTTCTCCATCAGAGAATATAGACCCTCTGATGAACATGTGGTCATGTCTCTCCTTCGAGATGGGATATTTGAACATGTATACCCGGCTTTCTTCAAAGCGATGAGCCATCCAGACCATGTTGGCGTTGCTCTGAGCATTTCAATGGCTGGTTATGTGCTGGGAGGCAGCTCCTACTTCCAAGCTTTACTCTTTGGCAGCGTATGGGCTGGCCTCATTTATTACTGCTGCCACGAGATCTACGAAGGCTACATGACGAGGAGGCTGAGCGCAGACATGGCCAACATTCAAGCCAACTACCTGGAAAACCCAGATAACGGTTTCTGGGTGGCAGAGGCAGATGTCAACGGCCACTCCAAGGTGGTGGGGATGGTGGCAGTGATGGGGAAAAGTGGAGGGGAGGAAGGCGAGAGGTTTGACGACTGTAACGGAGGTGTGATGGGAGGGGCCTCAGGGTTTTCCCAAGATGCCGGAGATGGGTGTTATGGCGAGATGTCCCACATGGTTGTGGCGTTTCCATTTCGCCGCAAAAACCTGGGTTCACAGCTGATGAGGAAGGCCCTTGATTTCTGCAAAGAGCGAGGACACGCCCATCTCGTCGTGGACGTCAGCTCGCCGCAGGCAGCAGCCATCTCCCTGTATGAAAAATTTGGTTTTGTCCAAACTGGGTCCAACAGTAACACACACGCTAACCTCTGGTTCTCCAGACTGGCCAGAATAAATGTGATGCGAATGGAGAAGTTCATTTAATGCAAAATGGACTTTAGACTTCAGCACCTGATACAACCTCAACTGTACAGCACATTAAGAGTATTTCAGTTAATTTATGCTTCCTGTCCCATTTAATGCAGAAATCTTTCTTGTTGTGTGATATTTAGTCGCTCATGTCTCCAGCGCGCTATCATGGTAGTCTGAAAAAAAAAGCATTAAATTTCATGTTTTTTCCACAAAGCAGCATTAATGATCTCGGTTTCCTTGTATTTCTTCTTGCCTTGATGTATTATGTATACACCTGCACCCCTGACAGTCTATTGCCCACAACCATGAAAAACAATGAGACAACTGGTCAGCTTCTCTGGTTAATCAAATTAATTTATCATTTGCATATTGGAAGAACAATAAATCTCAATAAGACAATTGTGCTAAATTAATTATTGGATGTTAAACAGAACAAAATATACTTACATTCAATTATCTATTGTTCTCCTGTCCACTAAGGAATATGAAAATATATGTGAGAAAGGAGAAATTTAGTCATTTGGAAGCAGGAGAACTTTCTTTTAAGCCTCTTTCCAGGGAGAAGTTGAATCCCTCTGCCTCAGAGGAATTAATGCCAGCTGACTTCTAAGACCTCACAACTCTTTGCTTAAAATACCAATGAAAAATGCAATAGTATCAGGACATTGGGAGGTTTAAAATTCTTTGGAGCTAAAGGAGCCGTGTGTGTGTGTATGTGTGTGGCATAAAAAGAGGATAAAGAGTTCAGTATACTGCAATGCATTCAGGTCAAATACCGAGATTATCGCCACCAAACAATAGAGGAGAAGCTTACGTGTTACCATATCGGTGGTCTTATGACATGTGTAAAGAGGAACTGGACACAGTAGAGGTGAAAGAGCCACGAGAAATAGTCTGAAAGTAAAAGATAGTCGGCCACTATTTCTGAAACAGTGTAAACAAGGAGCTTCCTGTCAATAACACTGCCTGATGATGATGCCAGCAGGATATTTTCTTAATAAACCTGTTATCAGCCACAAGCATTGTGCAGCATCACCTAAACAATGTAGGTTCAAACATTTCTTTAACCTACAATGCCTCCAAAATCCCCAGAAGGTGATTACGATTTCCAAAATATTATCAGCACCACACAGTACCTGCTTATCTCTGAAGAGTGTGTCCACGGTAAGCCTATAAGGGACTTCAAGCAACCAATGTGTGCAGTGACAGGTGTGGCCTAAATGAGTTTCAAGAGGGAGCACTGTATGGATAGAGCAGCCTGGCACTGAGACACACACACCGTCAGAGGCCTTCGGGCATCAATCATTCCTGCTGAGGCTGTCAGAAAAAAATTAGGCCGGTGGCCAGCAGGCAGGTGCTGAACTAGCCAGAGGAAGATGAGCCTTAATGCTGGCCAACCTGTTGTCATCCTCTCACAATTACCAGTACAACTGGCCTCAAGGTAATGGCAGCTTGATTGTAATTCCTCTCATACACACACTCCACAGATGAGTCTGTTGCCTTTTTGGGGGTCTCAGAATTGTTGTGTGTAAGTAGTAAAAGTAGTCATGTTTTACTCTCTCACAACATTGAATCATAGCTTTAATGTGGCTTTTTTTTTTTTTTTTTACTCTGATCAAGAAAATAAGATCCTTACTGTCAAAGTGTAAGCAAATCTCTACAAAGTGATACAAATTTAAAATACAAAATGCATGTGGTGGCTATATATTCAAACCTTCCGAGTCAGTTTTAGGCGACTTTCTGCACCGTTGGCAGCAAATACAGCACATCTGGGCACTGCAATTTTTACCTATTATTCTCTACAAAACCGCTCAAGCTCTGACAGGTTACATTGGTATAGTGAGTGAACAACATTTTGCAAACCCAGCCACAAAATCTCGACTGGATTGAGATCCGAGTCGGTTGTTCCAGAACATAAACAGTGTTGTTTTTAAGCCATTCCTGTGTAGGTTTGGCTTTAAAATCTTTCACTTTCCAGATACAGGTGACACATTTATAAATCATTTGAAACCCCTTGACTACACAGAGGTGATCTCCATTTATTTAATCATGTGACTAAAACCAAAAGACTGCATCAGTGATGATTCAGGTGTGTCTTATTAAAGGGGATGAAAACTTGTAAATGCTGATTAACATGCATTCTGTGTAATATATTCAGATCTTTGAGAAGGGTCTTTTCCTGTTGAACATTGTCAAACAAATCTATTTTAAATATATTTCCATTCAAACAATAAAACACAAAAACTTTCAGGCTGAGAGAACTATAGTGTGAAATTCCATTTTGCATTGGTGCATGCATGCAACAGCTGAAAGATAATTGGATTTATTAGCATAATGACAGACTTAATGAGTCTAACTTTAGAGAAAAACTTCTCATGTTTGTTGTCCAACTTAACAAAAAAGACTTTTTGTTTTGTTTTGTTTGTGTCATTCTTTTCTTTTCTACAGGCAAGGTATACATAACAAAACTTGAAGGGACTTTGGTCCATCTGTCATTATTGGATTAGAGGTCTTCCCAATTTGAGATAACATATGAGATCAATGAAATAGGCAAGACCCTCTTCAAAAAAGGAGCTCAAGAAATGCAATTGAAAAACATCTCTTTGTCCACTACTTTTAGGGTGGGATGGTTTGTATGTGTGTTTGTGTGCTTGTCTGTGGTTAGGGATTATCTTGAGCATTCCTGCGTGCTTTCCCACCATAAGGTATTTCTTGTGGTGTCTTATTAATCTGACTCGGATCAAGATCGAAGCCATCTGGCTCACTGTTGGAAAAGAGTGAATATATCTCAAGGCAAACTTTGATGACACTTTCAAAATAACAAGAAAGCAAGTAATCAACATTACAAACAGCACCTGTGTGTGTACAAGCCTCTTTTTTCTGTATTAGCACTCTTATTGAATTGGTGAAGATTATGGAGATTAATTGCATCAGGATACCAGTCGCCTATGTGTTGCTGTCAAAGAGCCAGAGGTAGATTTGTTTGGATCATACATCATCATACGCTATTCACCACTGCCTTGCATAATCACTTTTCATCTTCTTTGTTGCACCACAGGAAGTAACTTTTTTGGCCGTGCCGCTGAACTTAACTACAGAAAACAACACCTGGGCAATTACTTTAGATATTAAATCACAAGTAACAAAGGCATGTCACGCACTTACAGAAGATAGCTTATCCTGCGCCATCAATTCGCTGCATTTTAGGATCCTGACATTATGCAGAATCTGCACTTCCTTTTACTGAATAATTGGTCAATTATTCGCTGCATGGTTCAAGAATGATAAATATGTTTTTCTATAAGAGCAGAATATTAGACCACAGTGAGAGACTAACAGGTAAAATATGAGAAACTGGGGAGATGTGCTAACTGGATCCCTTAAATTATAGCGTATAGTCCAACACTGGAACATGTATGAAAGCACAATTAGTGTCTCATTATCATTCAAGATTGGAAGTCAAATTATTGGGATAAATGTGGGATTAGATATTGCTAATGAGTTGGTATTAAATATGTTTACACCACAGTGAACCTCTTCGTCGTAGATAAATGTTCCAGACAATATTAGGCAGCCGCTCGTTTGCTGAGCTCCAGCTCCAGTGCAAGAGGACTGTGGGGATTTGGTCAAGGAAGTAATTGGACACAACAACAACCGAAAAAATTTATCACAGCTGTTGCAATTAGGATAAATATGGGACAATCAATTTTTTCATGTTTCAGGCTCGATGCTGAGTTACCCACAATAACTGCATTCCAATATACGAGATAGCGAAGTGTGATAATTACAGTGGGATCCTCCTATACTGTGCTTAAAATAATTCGGGCAATATTTCAGGATAATGAACCAAGAGACTCAGATCTCAATCACAGTAAGAGTTTTGTGTATCGCAGATGACTGTACAACGGGAAAGCTCCTTTTAAATAGAGTATATTTAAGGGACTGTATGAAAGTTATTGTAGATGGGAGGGGGGTTTGAATCTTATATTTCACTTTAAATTAAACTGAGACCCTGCCCATTTTTGTTAATGATTAATTAATGAATGAATATTAAAATATTTGCTATATCCAGACAGTAGTACATGAAACAGATTAAGAAAAGGTTTTCTGGCTCCTCCTAGTGCTCCTAATGGCATTTGCAAGAATCCACCGCATTGAGTGTCATTCCCAGGTCGTCAATTACAGATGCTTTGGGTCCCTGGGAATGAGACTCAACAATCAACTATCTTTCTCGGCTCTTCTGATTGGTTGCTTTCATTCCGACGCGTTGAACTGACGTTGTTAAACTAAAGGTGGGAGCAGGAGAGGAGCCAGACATTGTAAACATCCGGGGCTTGGCACAAACCTAGGGGTGTCTGAGATTATTATTTTTTTTTTACATTTATGGCGGCTATATGCACTATTTTTCAAGCCAGTTGAGGTAACAGAATGTCTCAAATCTATACATCGTTTGGGAAAAACAATGAGAGTTGAGCCTACATCATATTTTGTATCTAATTGTTCCCCAACTGTCTTCATCATTCTGAAACCATAACACAGCAAATGTTGAGGATGATTACATTTTTACTCCTACCACATAAAACAAGGTCTGATATTATTTTTAAGATACATAACAAAGGTAGCATAGGGTTTTGTGTAAACAGCATTATTAAGCTTAAGACCTTTTTTGTACAACTATGTTGGACTACAGTTCACAGAATGAATGTTTAGCTGCTATGTGAATCCAGATAATACTGTAATAGCTGACAATATTTCCCCAGTAACAAAGGTTTTGCTTCATTCATTGCTCGGTCCAGTCAGAGAGACTGAGGGGAAGTTACCCCTAGTTGAAGTTATTTTAAAAGTGTAAAAGATTCAGGAGCCCCAGACGCCCCATCCCCCAGACTCCGCCCTTGGGTGTCACCTGCTGTTTGCTAGTGAAAAATTATAAAATCCATTAAGACATTTTTTTGGCAGTAAACCTCACAAGGAAAGGCTGAAATAAAATATAAATCCCGTCCACCACCTCCAACTCCTACTAATTTTCATACACTCCCTAACTAGCAAGATTTGACAAGCATAAGTCATGATCCAATATATTTTGGAAATCATTAATTTCTAATGATATACAGCACAATTTCATCATATCTCTGAGTTTCCAGGGGTATTGAAGGAAGTGAAGAAAATAATCCCCATCACAAATGGCCAGCAGAAACCATTAAAATCCAGCTTTGATTG